CGGACGCTTGCAAGGCTACCTCGGTATCTCACTGGACTGAAAGCTGGCTCCTGCGCTACTGTTGCTGTCCAAGACCTGGATCTGCGCAAAAGAGCACAGAGTGTAGTATCAGCACAACCGAACCCATGTGCTGGTAAGTATCTGGCCTAACCCTGGCGAGGTAGTGACGAGGCTAGGACCAGACTCCAGATAAACCTGTGTAGTTATATACTATATGGCGAAAAAGTAAACAAGTAATAAGCAATCAAAGCTGGGAAAGGGGAAACATGCTCCGGGGGTAGCAGATAAAACAGAATACCAAAGAATAGTAAGGAAACTACAGTTTAACTTCTAACACGGATAAAGNCCTTGTGGTAAGCATACCACCCGCTCCCATTTCATTATATCTCGTGGTAGGCGTACCACCCACTCCCTTTTACATTTCCTCACACAATCACAGGAAATCCCGGCAAGGGAACATAAATAATATAATAACTTCCCGTCAAGGGAACACGACAATGTTATAATTTTCCTGGCAAGGGAACAATAATATTGAATTAGTCATCCCGGCAAGGGAGAATCAGCTATAACCAACCTCGACTCAATTTGTACTCAGTTTAATTATTGAAAATGTTCAATCATAGAAGATCATTAAGTAAAGCACTCAAGTGTCATTTAAGAACACAACAACATTCAATTTAAGACTCACGGTCATGCTTGACACCAACGTGTATAGATACTCGGCACCATTCTTATACGTCGTACTCAACAAGAAGCAAGTAGCAAGTATGACTCAACTCCTAATCCCTCAAGCTAGTGTTAGACCAAACACTTACCTCGATGCCTTGATCACCACTCAAGTCTCAACTATAGCTTTACCTCTTGATTCCACCACCAATCCGCTCGAATCTAGTCACAAGTTACTTAATTACATCAATAAGTGTTAAATGAATCAACCTCAATGCGTGAAAATGAATTTTCTAAAATTTTACCCAAAAGTCAGAAATCACCCCCCCTCCCCCCGGGCCCACGTGGTCGAAACACGAGGTTCGTACCAAAATCCGATTACCCATTTCCCCGCGAATACAAATATATAATTTGTTTTGAAATCGGACCTCAAATTGAGGTTCAAAAACCCAATTTTAGAAAAACATAGGTTTTACCCAAAACACCCAATTTCCCCCATAAAAATCTTTGATTTGATGTCTAAATCATGTTAAAAGATGTTAAGGAGTGAAAAAAATGAGTTAGAAATCACTTACCAACGTTTTAGAGAAAAAAGATTGTTTGAAAAATCGCCTCTTATGTTTTGCGGTTTTGAAAAAGTGAAAAATAACTGAAATTCCCGTTTATTTATACCCCTCTCAGACCCCCTATGCGGACCGCATCAAATGGACCGCAGCCGCACAGCCTCCACCGCGGACCGCACAAAGGCGGCCGCAGCCGCGTTGGACCCTCCCTAAAGACATGCAGTTCAGCACCCTAGGCGGACTGCACAAAGGCGACTGCGGCCGCACAACCTCCACCGCAGACCGCACAAAGGCGACCGCGGTCGTGCTGGCCCCTCGCGGTTGCATGCGATTTTTCGCGGACCGCACTAGAGGGTTCAGAGACTGCAAATTCCTGAACCTGCAACATCTGACTTTCTAAGCCTAAGGCATTCCAGAGCCCACTCAAAACTCACCCGAGCCCTCGAAACTCCAACTCAAGTATACACACAACATCAAAAACATCCTACAGACATATTCGTGTACTCAAATGACCAAAATAACATTACGAGCATCGAATTAAACCTCGAGATCAATAAAATTTCTCAAAACTCTTTTAAACATCAAATTTCTCAATTAAGGTCCGGATCACGTCAAACGACATCCGTTTCTAACCAAATTTCACAGGAATGACTCAAGTCATATATAAGACCTGTACCGGGCACCGGAATCAAAATACGGGTCCGATACCATTCCTTTCTAATCATTTTTACTTCAAATTTCCTTAAGCAATTTCTGAAAATAATTTCACTTAAAAATTCATTTCTCGGGTTAGGGACCTCGGATTTCGATTCCAGGCATACACCCTAAGTTTCATATTTCCTACGGACCCTCCAGGACCGTCAAATCATGGGTCCAGGTCCATTTACCCAAAATGTTGACCGAAGTCAAATTTATTCATTTTAAAGTCAAGACTTAACATTTTTCACAGAATTTCATATTTAAGCTTTTCGGGTACGCGCCCGGACTACGCACACAAATCGAAGCAACTCTAAATGAGATTTTCAAAGCCTCGGAAGCACTTAATGGGTAAGAAAACAGGTGAGGCATTAATAATTGGACTTATAGCATGTTTGGTCAAGCTTCTAAAATCAGCTTATTTTGATATGTGTTTTTCAAAAAGATATTTTTGGGAAACAGTTTGTATTTGACTAGTCAATTTGAAAAATATTTTTTAGCAGCAATTTATATTTAGTCAAACTTATAAAAAGTGATTCTAAGTATATTTTCTCAAAAGTGCTTTTCAAAAAAGTACCTTTGAAAAGAATCTATTTTTTTAGCTCCTCAAAAACATCTTATGTTTGTATTCAAAAACTCTTTTTTCCATCTAAAAGCCTGGCCAAATACCTTAACTTTGAAAAAAGAGTATTATTGATTAAAAAAAGTATACATTTGGCAACAAAAAAACTTAACCAAACAGACTAATAGACATACAACAACACAACAACAACCACCCAGTAATAATCTCACTAGTGGGATCTGGGGAGGATAGAGTGTGCGTAGACTTTATTCCTACCCCTGAGGGTAGAGAAGCTGTTTCCGGGAGACCCTCGGCTCTAAGACAAAAGATCTATAACAACACTAGAAAACATACAAATAAGATCAGCACCATAAGTGACAATAAATAAGTGGGAAGAACAATAATAATGGCAATAATAAAAATTGAAAATAAAATATAAAATAAAAGTAAAAAACAATATACAAAAAATAAAAATATAATAGAACAATAACCGCTAGTAGTCCTATATATATATATATAAAACACTATCAGACTAATAGACATAATTACCATCAAAATTGATCCTTGTGGATTGTGACTTGGATACTTTCTATACATATTGTAACGATCGCTTTGTTCTAAATTTGACGACACGATTGGGTCATCACAATTTATCGTAGTATTTGTTTATATACTTATACCTCAAACACTATATTTAATTCTGCCCAACAGTTTTACTTCTCTTTCAACTATATTTGCTTATGTTATTTAATTAATTGTGGTGGTTAACATACTTAGTTCATCATGCTTTTCAAATGTGCAAGTTTCCTTATCAAAGCCAGACTAAACTGAACAGCTTTCTAAGTTGGTAACTGGAAATTGAAGGTCTCCACCTGTCAAAGTTATTGTCTATTACATCGTTGAACTTTCTTCCAAGAAATAATTATGCTGAGCTTTATTTTTTCCTTGCTCGTAAAGTTCCTAGCTAGTAAGCATGGAGCATGACCAAAAGTCAGTCAACTGCGGCTGCTAGAAATTTGATTTTTACAAAGAAACAAAGCGATTTAACTGTACAGCTGCCCACTGAATTCAACGTAGTCGGCTCTACATGGTGAAGACGGGAGGCAGGGTCTGATGTCGTGTGATAATTCCATATATTTTGACGTTATTGGCCAGGGCACTATCATTGGCTTCCCAGACAGTACCTCGCGCAAATACAATGGCGTTATACAATAAAATATAAAATCAGTTTTGGACATGTAGACTTCGGCCCCTACCCTATAAATACCTCTTAAAGTTATTTGAAGGGAGATACATCATTAGAGAGGCAAGAGGCTACGGAATACTTTGGAAGCACGAATCACTCGAGTTTTTCTCTCCTCTTTCTTTTTATTTGTAATTTATTGCTCTTAAATATTACTATGATTATCTACCCAATTATGAGTAGCTAAACTCGTCATCTAAGGTTGATGGAACTAATTGTTGGATGAAGTCTTGATTGTGTTTTGATATAATTGAGTCGTTATTACTCTTTAATTGTTCAACTATGTGTTTCTTGTGATTAATTGAAGGGCCCTTGATTAATCGTGTCTAGTTACCTTATGTTGCTTGAGAAAGAACACTTGTTTGGATTGTTGTTGAACAATGCCACGTTTGAGTAAGTTAAAAGATTAATTACTTGAATTTAAAAGCGGAATTAGAGATAACGAAGCTTTTTGGCGCGATATTTATGAGTTGTACGAATTGTCAACTAGAGTCGAGAGAATACTTCTAGTAAAGTATCATTATTGATTGAGAGATAATTGCGGTAAGCAAGAACTCATCATTTAGAGAATGGTGCGGCGAGATTATAGCTAACGTGTTAGGAATTAATCCGACAATTGGGAAAATCGTAAAGCCTAGATCTTTTCATCCTTGATTTAACCTCATTCTTGCTAATTGATAATTTTTATTGTCATTTTTCCTTGGTTAAGTAAATTTTGTTTAATCACAAATCAATTCTTAAACTCTGAAAGTTGTCTTATATTATCATTGTAGACATGTGATTTTTGACCCTCCCCAAGATTTTTTATATATTAACGTAAAATATTTAATTTAGGCATAATATAGATATTTTAAGTAATTTTGACTCTTTTACTTTATTTTAGTACAAGAAAACAAAATTACAAAAAACAAGTAGGTTCATTAATGTTTTGTAGTCATTTTTAATCTAAAAAAAAAAATCTTAAAAAAATATATACAAAAATAGTATCGTATTTTATTTTAATATGATATTTGAAAATACCAAAAATATATTTATTTTAATGGTTAGTTTTATTTTAATAATTATTCGAATAGTAGGATTAATTAATAATTGGGTCCGTATTTTTAATCTTGTTTGCAGCGAAAGAATATAACTTGGGCCCGAGCAACCCATTTTTAGGCTTAATTTTGAACCTAGCCCATAATTCCTAGGTCCATACCCCTTAACCTAAAACCCTACAACCTAGACTCTACACTATAAAAGAATGCTTAACACTAAGAATTGAGAAGGGAGGCGGAAGAGAACGAGGACCCTAAAAAACTAATCCGCAGTTTCCCATAACAAAAAAATGAACCCTCCCTTTAAAGTCCATCGTCTTCTTCAGCAGATGCCTGAAATGAGTTGAAATACACAAGATACACATGAGACCAAATATAGATTCTAAGACCTAAAAATTAGAGGCTACAACCAAGAAGACCGAAAAAGCTTCTTCAGTGCTTCCTCTAGAGATAAGGCTGTCGTGAACTTAGAGTTGTAACGCAACAAACTTGCTGCGAAATAGACCCAGAAACGACCCTGAAGCAGTAGCTAAATCGCTGCTAATTCCATCACGACACAGTACCAAAATATTACCAAAATTCCAGCTGAACAATCCTCGAAACACAAGCTTTAAGTCGAGTTCGAGGTTGCGGACGAGGTCAAGTTTCCGGCGAGTTCTCTATTCGCTTCGACCTTTGTATTCAAGAACCTTTTCCATATAAAAAAGGTTTGTTTCCATCTTCGTACTCTCATATGTAAAAGATCTGTTTTCTTAATTTTCATTGTTCTTCCATCTTGTTACAGCACCTTGGAGATGTTTGGATTTTTTTTTCTTTATTTTATTGTCTTTTCTTATTGATTTTATTATCTTGTTACAGTAGCTTTCATCCTTCATCTTCTTATCCTTGAAGTAAAGACAATTTCATGTTTTTCTTTATTTTATGCTCTTGTTATGGTAGCTTTTGTAATACGTATTAGTTTAGAAGCCAAACTTTATATGTTTCTTTCAAAATGTAGACTCACTTAAATTGGACCTAATTGTATAATTGATTCAACGATTAACTTAATTAAAGAAAATTATGTCTCTGAATTTGTATAACTATCTACGTTCTTGAATGAGTATATTAATTGTTAGATTAATTAAGTTGGCAAGTTAGTGTGGAATTTGTGAAAATGAACATCCTTAGAAATGTTTCTTTTAGGCACACACTTAATCTATCTATTGCGATTGTGTACACGTTCGCGTGACATAATTACGATTTTTAAAAATAAATTGGGGTATGCTTTCGCGCAACTTCGACTAATTTTTCTTAATAATAATAAAGCATTACTAATTGTGGACACGTTCGCGTGACATGATTTCTAACGCACCAAATAAATGGGTACACGTGCGCGTGACCTGTTTCAATATAATCTTCTTAATTAAAAAGCGGTAAAAAGTAAATGCACAGAGGTTCTAAAATGAGTAATTAGACAATTTAATAAGCCAAGTATTATCAAAGCGACCGTGCTAGAACCACGAACTCGGGAGTGCCTAACACCTTCTTCCAGGTTAACAGAATTCCTTACCCGGATTTCTGGTTCGCGGACTGTTAAACAGAGTCAATCTTTTCTCGATTCGAGATTCTAAACCGGTGACTTGGGACACCATAAATCTCCCAAGTGGCGACTCTGAATTTCAATAATTAACCCCATTTCGATTATCCTTTAATTGGAAAAACTCCCTTGTATTTATACCCTTTACGGGTTGTAAGTAAAAAAGGAGGTGTGACAATCATTAGTTCCCTATGGGATTCGAATCCGAACTCTTGAATCAGCTTATATTTTCAGCGACTGCTTAGTCCTTTTTATAAAGCATAGTTGGACATGATCAAATTTTGGCGCTGTCGCCGGGGAACTAACGGTGTTATTCGTTACAACTTGAAAGAATTGCTAGAATTTTTAGTTTAGATCAATTTTCTGTGGTGCTAAAAATATTTTCACTGAAATTTTCACGTTTGAATTCTTCTGTGCCTCAGGTGCACGCCTAGAAATTCCTTGAGAACTGGTGAACTATTTAAAGATCTCTCAGATCCCGAGAAAGCATTTAGTACATTGAATCGGGCTAAGAAGAAGGGTAAACAGCTAAACAGAATGAACAAATCAAAAATTAAAATGGGTGACGTCGAGAACATCAATGGGAACAATATAAATAATCAAGTTGACACAAACATCAGAGTGGTAGCACCCCTAGTGCCGGAGGCTGTTCTATATGATTGGGCACAACCAACTACTGACAATATGGCAACTGCAATTGCAGTCCCTCTGATACAAGATGAGACTTTTCAAATTACAAACAACATGTTGCACTTGCTGCAAAACAAAGGGTTGTTCTTCGGGTTTTACATCGAAGACCTACATCAACATCTCAAGAATTTCCTGTCAATTTGTGTCACTCAAAGACAACCGAATATGACACCCGAAGCAATCAGATTGTTTATTGTTTCCATTCTCAGTGCCTGGGGAGGCTCAAATGTGGATGAATTTGCTCCCAATAATATCTATTGCTACATGGGAGGAACTAGTCAAGCACTTCTTAAACAAGTTTTATCCACCTAATAAGACAGCAAGGCGAATTGATGTGATATTGCAGTTCATGCAGAAACTAACTGAAACTTTGCAAGAAACTTGGGAATAGTTTAAGGACATATTGGCAAAGTGTCCACACCATGTCATCTCGGATCAGATGCTAGGACAGAGATTCTATATATGTTAGGCTGACAGCTTGAAGGCCAATGTAGATACTTCAGCCGAGGGTGCATTCTTGAGCAAATTATTCATTGAGTGTAAGATTCTTCTTGACAAGATGGCTTAAAATCCAAGCTGGATGATGAATACAACACTCACTTTAATAGTGCATTTTGTTTCTCTTGACCCAAAAAATACAAATGCAGAAAACATAGCCACTCTCATGACCCAGATGAGCTTGTTGACAAAGAAATTTGATGCGATGGGCACGAAACAAGTTCATATTATTGACACAACAAATGGAGACCTATGCACTCCCTGCATAAATCAATCGTATGTTTGCTCATGGAGTGGAGAGTAACTAGGGCTTCAGAGAAGTCATGAATTTTATAAATAATTTTGGGGGTTAAAAGCATGGTGGACAGTAATGGGGACCTTAAAATCAGCAGTACAGACTAACCCAACAACAGTACAATAGCAATCCTGGGGGAGAACGACCACAAGTCCAAGTTGTGCCCTATCAAAGGAAGCAGGGTTACAATCAACAACCCCAATAACAGTTGGCTTACCAACAGCCTCATCAACAGTAGGTGACCAGACAAGACGACAGCTATATAATAGAAATCAAGGGCATGCTGCAACAAATCATTGGGACAAATAGAAGGATGCAAGAAAAGTTAGTCGCACATGATTCGACTATTAAAGGTGTTGAAACTTAGTTAGGCATGTTGTCCATGGATTTAAATAATCGCCCACAAGAAACGTTGCCTGCAGACACAAACATTAATCCAAAAGAGCAGAACCTGAATCTGTTAATGGTAGTGAGTCTTAAGAATGGAAGGGATTTGGACAGAAAGCAAGAATTTGCTAAATCTAATAAATACATAGAGCCACTTACTCCAGTGCCATTCGACATCGATGAGTCGACGGAGCTCAAAGAGGTTGTAATTGAACAAGCGCAAGTTGACAAAGGCAAAGAGAAGAAAATTGAACAACTCCAGAATAGGTAGTGGAAAAGACACAAAGTCATGGGCAAAAGCTAATTCCATCACCATTCCCTCAAAGTTTGGCAAAGCAAAAGAAAGATGATCAATATAGGAAATTCATGGAAATGCTTTAACAAATTCAATTAAATATTCCACTGATGGATACTTTGAGGGAAATGCCAGGCTATGCGAAAATGATGAAGGATTTGATATCTTAATAGTTTGAATTCCAGGACCTATCTACTGTAACTCTGGCACAAACTTGTATTGTGGTAGTGACAAGACCTATGACTCAAAATGTGTTTAATCCCGATAGTTTCACTATCCCATGTACAATTGGAAGTTATGCTTTTACTAAAGCATTTTGCGACTTGGGAGCCAGTATTAACTTGATGCCCTTAGCAATCTACACAAAGTTAGCCATTGGCAGAGCTAGGCCAACCTCAATGTTGTTGTAACTGGCTAATCGCACAGTGAAAAGGCCAACATGAATCCTGGATGATGTGATCGTCCAAGTGGGGAAGTTTGTATTTCCTGCTGATTTTGTGATTCTTGATTTCTAGGTTGACGAAGAAATACTCATAATTTTGGGAAGGCCGTTTTTAGCCACTAGAAGAGCATTGGTTAATTGTGAGACTAGAGAGTTGAAAATGAGGTTGAATAAAGAAGAAATAATATTCAATGTTCAACAGTTTATGAGGAGGCCCAATAAATTTGCAAATTGTTCGCTAGTGGAGGCCGTTGATGTGATACTACAAGAGGTGGATGAGACTCTTAATGTTAGAGACCCATCAAAAAATTGTTTGATAAATTTGAACGAAGTGGATAATGAAAATTTTGCAAAGTGGATCATGGCTCTCAAAAGGCAAGGGTTCTGGAAAAGGAAACCTCAATTTGAGCTACTATACTTAGAAGAAAGATAAACATCACCTGCAAAGCTACCGATAGTAGAACCACCATAGTTAGACCTTAAACCGCTTCCAACTCGCCTCGGGTATGCTTTCTTAGGGCCTAACTCTATTTTACCTATTATAATCTCATCTAGTTTGTTAGCTGTACAGGTAGAACACATCCTACAGGTGTTACAAGAATGTAAGACTGCTATTGGATGGGCCAAACAAGACATTAAGGGTATCAGCCCGGCCTTTTTCATGCACAAGATTCTCTTGGAAGAGGGGCACAAACCTTCAAGGGAACATCAAAGAAGGTTGAACCCTAATATGAAGGAAATGGTAAAGAAGGAAGTGATTAAGTGGTTGGATGCGGGCATTATCTTCCTAATTTCGGATAAAGTCTGGGTAAGCCCAGTCCAATATGATCCGAAGAAAGGTGGATTGACTATTTTATAGAATGAGAATAATGAGTTGATCTATACTCGTACAGTCACGGGTTGGAGAATTTGCATGGATTACAGAATATTGAACATGGCCACTCGGAAAGACTATTTTCCCCTTCCATTCATTGACCAAATATTGGATAGGTTGGCAGGGAGGTCTCACTTTTGCTTTTTGGATGGATATTCGGGGTAAAATCAGATCACAATAGCCCTTGAGGATAGAGAGAAAATGTCATTTACTTGTCTGTATGGCATTTTTTCCTTTAAGAGAATGTCGTTTGGCCTATGCAATGCACCGACCACTTTCCAGAGGTGTATGTTTGTCATTTTCACTGATATGGTTGAAGATATTATGGAAGTCTTTATGGATGATTTTTCAGTTGTGGGGAATTCATTCGATGACTATCTTCACAATTTGAGAAGAGTGTTGAAAAGTTGTGTGTGGAGACAAACCTGGTGCTGAACTAGGAGAAGTGCCATTTTATAGTACAAGAAGGTATAGTTACATCGAGTGTCAATTAAAGGTATTGAGGTTGACCATTCTAAGGTTGACATGATAGAGAAGCTGCCACCATCCACTTTAGTCAAGGCAGTAAGATGTTTCCTTGGGCACACCGGTTTCTACAGGCGATTTATAAACGATTTCTCTAAAATAGCTAATCCCTTATGCAAACTGCTTGAAAAGGATCACCCCTTTGTGTTTTCTGATGATTGCAAGTTAGCATTTGAGGAGCAGAAGAAGAGACTGGTGACTGCACCAATCATCATAGCACCCGACTGGGAGCATCTATTTGAGCTCATATGTGATGCGAGTGACTTAGCTATAGGAGCAGGTTTGGGTAGTAAAAGGACAAAATGGTGCATCAAATTTACTATACAAGGAAAATGCTAAACGGTGCACAACTCAGTTATACCGTGACTGAGAAAGAGATGTTGGCTGTGGTGTTTGCATTCGACAAATTTAGGTTTTATTTGATTGGTTCAAAAGTGATTATTTATACGGACCATGCAATACTTAGGTACTTGATAGCAAAGAAGGAGTCAAAGTCTCACTTGATCTGGTAGGTTTTTTTGCTACAAGAATTCGATTTGGAGATCCACGATAGGAAAGGAAAGGAGAACCAAGTGGCAGACTACCTCTCAAGGTTGGAGGGAGCTGAAAAAAAAGTAGAGATTGAAGATATAACAGAGATATTCCCGGATATAAAAAGAAAGTAGAGGTTGAAGATATAATAGATACATTCCCGGATGAACAATTACTAGCAGTGGCAATGAAGGAGACGCCTTGGTATGCTGATATTGCTAACTATTTGGCAAGCGGTATTGTACCTTATGAACTCTCTTCGATTCAAAAGAAAAAGTTCTTTCGTGGTTGTCGGTCTTATTACTGGAATGAACCTTTACTTTTTAAAATATATGTGGATAACATGATCCGGAGGTGTATCCCCGAGAAAGATCAATCTTTTGTTTTGCAGGCTTGCAACGCTTCACCATATGGTAGGCACTTTGGAGGAATTCAGATAGCAACGAAGGTGTTGGATTTGGGTTTGTATTGGCCATCTCTATACAAGGATGCCCATGCCTGTGTGAAAATTTGTGATGAGTGACAATGAACCAGCAATATATCTCGTTGTCATGAGATGTCAATGACTACCATTCAAGAGGTGGAAGTGTTTGACGTGTGGGGGATTGATTTTATGGGACCATTTGTCAGCTCGTATGGTAACAAGTACATATTCGTAGCAGTTGACTATGTTTCCAAACGGGTTGAAGCATTGGCTCTTCCAATAAATGATGCCAAGAGAGTGATAGAATTTCTAAGAAAAAATATTTTCACACGGTTTGTCACTTCGAGAGATATAATCAGTGATGATTGAACCCATTTCTACAATATAGCGTTCGTAAGGCTGTTAGAAAAGTATGTAGTTTTCCATAAGGTTGCCACACCTTACCACCCGCAAACGAGCGGGCAAGTGGAAGTGTCCAACAGGGAAATCAAAATTGTCCTAACCAAGAAACTAAATGCAACTCGGACTGATTCGGCAAGGAAGTTGGATGATGTGTTATGGTCTTACATCACAACACTTAAAACTCCAATTGGTATGTCTCTGTACAAGTTGGTATTTGGAAAAGCATGCAATCTTCCGGTGGAGCTCGAGCATAAAGCCTTATGGGCACTGTAGCAGTTGAATTTGGATATGGAAACAATAGGCACAAGTAGAGTTACAGAGTTACATGAACTTGAGGAGTTTCGGTTCCAGGCATTCGAGAGTACGAGATTGTATAAAGAAAGGATGAAGATACATGATAAGCACGTTCTAGATAGGAGCTTCAAACCCAGAGATCTAGTGTTGTTATACAACTCAAGATTGAGATTATTTCTGGGTAAGCTGAAATCTAGATTGTCGGGACCATTTAGAGTTGTGCAAGTGTTCCCAAGTGGAGTTATAGAAATTGTGGGACAAAGCCGAATACGTAATCTAAGCGTACCTCGCATTGCTTATCACAAAGGTACAGGGCCCCATACCCCGCCCTGTGCTATTTTTTCATTGCCCCACCCGATGGCTCGCAGGGTCTAGTGCGCAGCTATTAGCGCCTGTTGCTGCCTCGTGAAGCTTGGACATCGCCCCTCAAACCGCCTGGCTATGTCCAGCGCGGTAACTTTATCGCGCTTGATGGAGTCTCGCATGAAATTCTTGACGCTCCTCACGTCGCCTCGCGCCAAGGCCCAGGTAAGTGTTTAATTTATTTTGTATTTTCTCTTTTAAACTCCCCCCCCCC